TTCCCGGCCTCTGGCTTTTCCCGGCCCTTCTGGCTTTGCTCCGGTGTTTTGGAAGTTGGTGGCTCAAAGCACGCTCCAGCTGAACCCGGTGGTACGTGAGTCCAGGCTGGCTGGGCGCGGGGTCCCAGCTGCTCCCTGCCCTCCCCGTCCCCCCCAGGGTGTCCTGGCTGTCCCCGGGGAGAGCGGTGGCACAGTGGGGAGCTGTGGCAGGAGGGCAGACCCATCCGTCTGGCGCTGGGGCGATTGTCCTGGCTTAGTCACCGGCTGGTACGGGTGCTCCAGGATGTCTGCTCCCTCCCCGTGCCTCAGTTTCCCTGCTGCAAAATAGGCTGTTCCTGATGTGCCGTGTCCTCCTCTCAGGGTCACCTCTGTGCCCGGTGGACGCCCGTGTCCCACCCCCCCGGAGCACCATGGCGTCCCGCATCGGCCTGCGGATGGAGCTGATGAAGCAGCAAGCGCAGCAGGAGGCCGAGAGGGAGCGCGTGCAGCAGCAGATGATGATGAACTACATGCAGCAGCAGCGCATGCCGGTGGCCTCCACCCCGGCCATCAACACCCCCGTCCCCTACCAGTCCCCACCGCCCGTGCCCGGAGAGGTCCTCAAAGTATGGTGCTGGGGGTGTCCCCCCTGCCCCGGGGCCGAGGGGGCGCGGGAGATCCCTGATGGTTTGTCTGCTTGCAGGTCCAGTCCTACCTGGAGAACCCCACCACGTACCACCTGCAGAAGTCACGGGACAAGAAGGTTCAGGCTTATCTCTCCGAAACCTACGGGAACAAGTTTGCTGCCCACGTCAGCCCCGTCAGCCACTCTCCCAAGCCACCCCCCGCCGCATCCCCCGGCATCCGACCCAGCCACGTCATGTCCTCCTCGGCGGGCAACAGTGCGCCCAACAGCCCCATGGCCATGCTCAACATCGGCTCCAACCCCGAGCGGGAGGTGAGGAGGTGCCACCGAGCTGCTGCAGGAGGCAAAGGTGCTGGAAAGGGCACAGAAGCCCATTGGCACCTTACACCTTTCCCTTTCAGTTCGATGAGGTCATTGATGACATCATGCGCCTGGATGACGTTTTGGGCTACATCAACCCTGAAGTCCACATGCCCAACACAGTGAGTCTCTGATGCACGTTAGGAAGAGATCAGACCCCAGGCTGCGGGAGAGAGGGTGGCCTGGGGGTCCCGCAGCCCCATGCGTGCTGGGGATGGAGGTGGCACAGAGGGGACCTGTCCTTCTGCCACATCCCTGCAGCAGTGCCCAGGTGCCAGCCCAACCCAGCCTCAGCCCTGGGACGGTGTCCCTGGGAACGTGGGGGAAGGGAAGCAGCGAGAGCTCCCTTTGGCAACTGCGAGAGCCAGTTCTTCAGCTTCTTTTCCTCTTTAAAGACGGTTGGGAGCCCTCATACAAAGCTGGAAGGACAGGAGAGGGGTGTGGGGAGGGACCAAGCGGCCGCTGCAGCGCAGGGGGACCTTGGTGCTGGGAGAGGTTTCCCAGCCAGAAGCTTGCTTGGAGTGGCCCCGTCTCCTGGGTTGGATCTGTGTGCCAGCTTGCGCCTCCCAGTGGGATTCATCCTGCCGGGCCCTTCTCGGATGCGATTCATCTGCCCTGTTTGAGAGGCCGGCTGTGGGAGGGGATCAGCTGTGCCCTTTGAAGTCCTGTTTTCTTTGCTACTCTGATTATAGTTATTTACAATTACACCTTCCTGGGCTATGCACTTGCATCCCGGAGGCCAAGCAGCTGGGCTTGAACCCCGGTCCCATGGCCCTGGATGGAGCTAACCCGCCTGTCCCTCTGGTTTTCAGCTGCCGATGTCCAGCAGTCACATGAATGTCTATAGCGGGGACCCCCAGGTGACGGCCTCTCTTGTAGGTGTCACCAGCAGCTCCTGCCCTGCCGACCTCACCCAGAAGAGAGAGCTGACAGGTACGTCACGGCCCCAGAGCTGGCGGGGAGCCGGCGGTGATGGTGAGCGTCAAAGCCGGCCGGAGTGCCCTGTCCCCATGGGTGGGGAGGAGTGTCTGGGGGATGCCGGGGCGCTCCGTCGCCAGCCCGGGATGCTCGTGGGGTGAGATGCAGCCTCGTCCCCTCTGGGTGACATTGTGGGTCTCCGTTGCAGATGCTGAGAGCCGAGCCCTGGCAAAAGAGCGCCAGAAGAAAGACAATCACAACCTGAGTGAGTTTGGCGCTGGCTGCCCGCGGGTGGCACAGCTTTCTCTCTCCCACCCCTGCAGCCCTTTCCTCACTGCTCTCCATCCGCGTTCCCCTCTCTCCGAGCCGGGTCCCCCTTCCCATCCCATCTGGCCCTCAGGAAGTACCCCCACAGCCCCCTGCCATGGCTCCCTCTTTCTCCTGGCTCTGCAAAATGTCTGCGGTGCAGGAGACGCCCCGTTGTCCTTCTCGTCAGCACTGGGGGAAGGTCAGAGCAGCCGGGGCGATGGACAGGAGCAAGGTGCCAAAGGGTTGGCCCCAGAGGTTTCTCACCCTGAGCCCCCTGACTCTGGAGGGCCTGGCCAGAGCACGATGGAGGCTCCCAGCCCCGCGAGCCGGGAGCAGCAGCATGGCCAGTGGGGTCTGCGGGACACTGAGCCTCTCCTGCTCTTGCTGCCTCCTCACCGCCTTCCCTCTCTTCTCGCCCTGCAGTTGAGAGACGGCGAAGGTTTAACATCAACGACCGCATCAAAGAGTTGGGGATGCTGATCCCCAAGGCCAACGACCTGTACGTATCAGTGGTTTCTGTGGGGCTGGGATAACTGTGGGTCTCGTGGGCTTGCTCGACGCTCGGCCCTGTGGCAGGTGATACTTGCAGAGGGGCTTTTTGGTGGAGCAGGGGTGAGGCATGTTGCTGGCACGCAGGTGGCAATCTCTTTTTCCATCCTGCACGGCAGAGACGTGCGCTGGAACAAAGGGACAATCCTGAAGGCGTCTGTGGACTACATCAAGAGGATGCAGAAGGACTTGCAGAGGTCACGAGACCTGGAGAACCACTCACGGCGTCTGGAGATGACGAATAAGCAGCTGCTGCTCCGCATCCAGGTGAGCTTCCCTGTGCTCTTCCCTCCCTCTGCTCTGCTCCAGCCCCACGAGCAGCTCACTCCTGCCCCACCGAGGGGATGGGCAGGGGCTCTCCTACCCCTTAGGGCTGTCAAGTCACCAGGAACAAAGTCTTCAGACAAACCAGACGTCTGAGGCTCAGGTCACCAGAGCGAGTGTTGTTGAGCTTTGCATTGGTCACCATTTTCCACCCTTCACCTCTTCCATGGGCTTGTTCCCTGTGAGCTCGGTCCTTCTGTCCCTGCCACCTCCGTGGATGCCCCTGTGCCGTGTCCCCGTGCGCGATGTCCCCACCAAAGGCCTCCTGTGCTCTGTTGGCAGGAGCTGGAGATGCAGGCACGCGTCCACGGGCTGCCCACCTCCTCACCCTCGGGCGTCAACGTGGCCGAGCTGGCTCAGCAGGTGGTCAAGCAAGAAGCTGGCGGGGACGAGGGGACGCTGGAGCCGCTGCTGCCACCCCCAGACCCCGAGTCACAGCCGCAGCCGGCGCTGCCTCCACCACCACAGTCTCCCTACCACCAGCTGGACTTTACCCACAGCCTGAGCTTCGACGACGGCTCCCGGGGCTTCCCGGACAGCCTGGAGCCTGGCCACAGCGCTTCCTTCCCATCCCTATCCAAGAAGGAGCTGGACTTGATGCTGATGCAGGACACCATGCTGCCTCTGGCCTCCGACCCCTTGTTCTCGGCCATGTCCCCGGAGGCCTCCAAGGCCAGCAGTCGCCGGAGCAGCTTCAGCATGGAGGATACAGACATGCTGTGACGAGGAGCTGCTCCGATGCTGGGGGCGAAGACTGGACCTTCAAGTTTGGTTAGTGAAGTTACAGGGCACTCTTCTCGCAGGAGGAGCCCGTCCTGCCACACACTTGAGTCTACGTAGGAGTACCTTTTCTCTATGCAATGGGGGTCTCGGATCAAGGCTCGCCGGGTACCGCCCTGTCTTTCGCAAGCTTTTCTTTTTGCCAGGAGCTGGAGCAGACCTTCTTGGCTTGCCGTGGCATTGGCCTGACTGCAGATTCCCCAGCCCAGGAGCATGATCTCGGCTGGTTTGCCTTTCAGCAAAACCCTCCCGGACTGTCCCCCTTCCCCAGGGTGCTGGCCCAGAGCCAGGGTGGGCAGGAGCCACCGAGTCCCTGGGAGGAGAGGAGCGGGACGATGCTCAGAGCTTTTTGTCTGGCTTGCTGCCTCCTTGCTGCCCCACTCTGGGAGCTCACATCCCCAACGAGTCTTCCCCAGCGGTGGCCTCCGAGCCCCGCAGATGCTTCCCGGTGCCACGTCCTTCACGGTTCCTCCTTCCTCGGAGCACCCACTGCCTCTGCGGGTCGCAGGGCTGGAGGGAGAAGAGGTGCTTAATTGGAGCAAGTTCATTCACGGGGTGCAGCGGGTGTTGTCCGAATGAGCTGGGTCTGAGGCTACCAATTCGGATCAACATTGAGAGCTTCCCAAAAGGCCGGGACGGGGTGTTTGATGCTTGGTCAACCCTCTGCTGTGACCCCCACCTTGCAGGGGGCCCCCCCTTCGGGGTTTGGCAGCACCCACCACCCCAAAGCCTTGCTGGCCTCTGGACAAGGGCTGCATGATGCCAGGTGACCTTCAGCCTCCCTCGAGACATCGCTGCAGAGGTGCCTCTGCCCCATAACGCCAAGCTGTGGCTCTTCAGCTGGAAGGATGAAGGGTTTTTACACTTTTTTTTTGGGGATACTGGTTGAAAGCAGATGTCCTGCCCCACATCTGGGCGTGGAGGCCCAGGCTCTGGCCGGGGACCAGGGGATGGTTTGCACCGATTGCCAAACCTCTGCCAAACGCCACGCTCTGCCTTTGACTTGCGGGGTTTATTTCTCTTCCCAGCGTCGCCAGCTGGTTCCCCAGCCAGGACAGCTCGGTGACGGGGAGCTGCTCTGGGCTCCGCATCATCTTCTGCCTTCTCAGCCTGGCTGGTGGTGGGGAGGGAGCTGGGCAGGGGAGGGGGACGCTGTTCACAGCGAAAATACTGCACGAATTTGTTGTAAAGCCTGAAGGGGAGCACGGGGAAGGCTGGGGCGAGGAGACCCCTCTGTGATCCCACACTATAGCACAGCGTCACCCCCCGGGCCGTGGGAGCTGTGGCTGGATGCACGGGAGCCCATGCAGGGATGGGGGTCACTGGGTGCACCCCATCCTGGACCAAGGATGGGGGATGTCACGGGATTGGGACTGCGAGGGGGAAGCCCAGCCAAGGAGGGACAAGCTTGCTCCATCGTGGCTGGATTTGGGATTGCGAGGTGGGGGACGGCCCCGGTGCCCCCCTGGAGAGGTGCCTGTCGTGAGGGTGTGGGGAAGTGCAGAAGGTGGGGAGGAGAGGGGGAAAGGAGGCGGGAGGCCATGTCGGAGGTGTCCTGGAGCGCTGGGCAGGGCAGGGGCTGGCTGCTGCCTTGCGGGGCTGCAGGGAAGGGAGCAGAGGGGGCGCCGGGCACCGGGATGTGGGCTGGCGGGTTTGGGGCTGCTTCACCCCATGTGTTCCCAGGAGGCCTTGGCATCCTTCGTGCGCTGCCGTTAGTGCCTGGAAAGAGAATAGTCCCCCCGGCGGGGCGGCGGCACCCCGTACGCTGTGCCGAGTACCCACAGGCGTGGGGGATCTGCGGGTCTGCGGGCACCCAGGGGTGTGCGCGGGTGCCTCAGGGCGGGCATACGGAGCCCCTGGTCGCTTGGGGTTATCGTGGCTGTAAGGTGGTTCTGCTGGGCTCTTGCTGGTGGTCCGTGGCACGTGCGGGGCTGGCTGAGGTGCGTGCCCGCTCTGCGCCCGCTCCTGGCACCGGCGGGCAGAGGACCATCCCCTGCTCAGCGAAGATGCGGCGTCTCCCACAGCTATGAGTAAACCGTTGTGGATTATTTTTTTTTTAATCTTCTGGGGGTTTTTTGTTTGTTTTATTTTTCTTTTCTTTTTTTAATGCACTGTGCTCTGATTAAAAAATTTTACTACTGTTTTATAAATAAATGTATAAAAGAATGAACTGGAATGGAAGAAGAATCATTAAAATATATTTATTTACAACAACCCGGAGTGTTGCAGCGTGGGCTGTTTCTTCTCTTCCCAGGGGAGGGAGGGTCCTGGAGCTTGAAGCACCCGGAGCCGCTTTCCCCTGGCGATGCCAAGGCCGTGCCGAAGGTCGGGCTGCAGCAGCGTCCCCGTCTCACCAGGGAGCTGCCCTGCATTTCGGGGGCTGCTTGGGGACTGGGTTTTTGGGTTCTTTTGCAGGAAAGCCTGGCTTGGTTGGAGGGGGGAAGCACTGACGTTGCTGTCATTAAGCCAGTCCCAGGGTGGTTTGGGGTGTTCAGGCTCCCCCCGTCCCGTCCTGTCCCTCTGGGTGCCAGCCCCGCAGCCGGGTGCTTTGGGGAGGTCCACAGCTCCCGGTGCTGAGCACAGCTGGGACTTGTGAGGTGCTGACCCATCTGCTGATTGCTTAATTGGAACCAGGCTTGGCCCCTTAATTAATAATAGTCCCAAGGCCCCAGAGAGCTGAGCTGGAAGGAGCTGTGTCCCTGGGGCCGAGCGTGGTGCCAGGAGCGGGGCAGGTTTGCGGTGGCTGTCCTGGTCCGCGATGGGGGAGCCGTCCCAGGAGCTCAGGTGCGTTTCCTACCTGTTGGGTGGCCCCTGGAGCCAGTGTGGGGCTGCGTGGGGGCTTCGCTCCCCCCTCCTTGCTGCTGGGGCTGGCTTAGCATCGCCCCTGGGTGCTGCAAAACCCCTCTGGGGGCCCGGGCCCGTGGCACAGGCAGGCTTTGGGGTAGGGTGTTCCCCACCTCCTGTTTGCAAACCTGCTGCGGGCTTGGGGCCCTCCTGCCCAGTGCAAGCGAGGGGAAAAATAGGCTTGCAAAGTCTCCCGCTGCCCTGTGGGGCTGGGCAGGGGGCTGGGGCTGAGCCTGGCAAAACTCATTGCATGCCACATTTGCAGACCCTGCCTGCGCTTCTCTGCCTGCGGAGCCACGTGCCAGGTTCCCGCTGCCCCCTGCTCCCCTCTGTGATGGCATTAAACATACACGCAAGGAAGAAAAAAAAAAGAAAATCCACCTTAAAATAGACTTCCCAGGATGGAAAATCACAGGGGCTAATCTTGGAAACTTTATTAAAAGAAGAAGGAGGGGAAAAAAGCGAGCGAGGACGCTGGGGGGGAGAAAGAGTAAGTAGTTTCAGACACTTCAAAAAAAAAAAAAAAAACCTGATTTGATTTATCTGGGGAGTGTGAGCACTAAATAGAGAACAACGCCTGAAGTGTGAATTATTTCCTATATTAACACAGAGAAAAACTGATAGCCTTTTCATGTCAAGAGAATAGCGCGGAGGGGAGGGCGGGGGGAGAATGACATTGTTCAATCTCCGGGTTTGCTCACTCTTTATCAGGCTGAGATCAAAATTTATTCCCAGGATGAGGCCTGCGGCCCGGCTGAGGCCCTAGAGATTTTTAAGGGCCTAATTAAGAAAACAGGATGAAAATGGCAAAATAAGAGGGCAATTTACTTCTTGCAGAATAGGGAGATCAAATCAACTTATGAGCAATTAATGTGCACAAGGAGAGAATAAAGGGATGCCGGGATATGGTAGAGGGCCTCATTTTAATGACATGCTCTGGTGTTGGCATAGAGGATTACTCTGAAGGTCAGATGTAGATTGAAACGACCTTGCAGATTCTTAACCCTCCTTCCAATTAACAGAACCAACTCAGAAATGCAAAAGACCCTGGCTTGGAGCACTGTCATCCCTTTATGTTCGGAAGGGAGGGGAAAAAAAAAATTTATAAAGGAGAGAGAGGACGAAAGGGGGTTTCCTTCGCTTAAACAGCAGCTGCTGGAGATGGGAGCTGGGGCAGGCGGGAGAGAAGGGCTCTTAATTACAGCCTGTGAGCCACCCACGGAAAAAAAAACCGGTGTCAAGGCTCCAAGTGGGATATAAAAGGGAGGGAGCGCTGGCTGGGGCGGCGGCGGGTGTGATGAGCTGCGGCCGGGCTCTGCCTGCGGACGGAGCGGTGGGGACCGGGTGGCGGGGTCACGGCTGCTCCCGGCCCCTCGCCATCGCCCCGGGGGGGGGCCCCGCCTCCGCCCCCCCCCCCCCCGGGCCCGCTGGGCCCGGGGGCCTCAGCCACAAGAGAGAGCCAGACCGTTGCCGGAGAACCCGGGGCTCCGGCGGGGGAACCGGCCCAGCCTCGCCCGGCCGCGGATGCGCATCCCCGGCTGCCCGCGCCGCGCTGCTGCCGGGGGCCCCCGCCGCGGGGGGCAGGACCCCCCCGTACCAACACAGCTCTCCCCGGCAGCTGATGCTGGGCTCTGCCGGTCCCGAGAGCTCACAGAATCGTTTAGGTTGGAAAAGACCTTTAAGATCATCGCGTCCAACCTTAACGTGGCGCGTTGGACTGGGGCTGGTGCCCGCTGCCAGCGAGAGCATCTCCCGCTTGTGCTCTCAGCCGCTGCCCCGTCCCCCTCTTTGAGCTGCCTTTGGGAAACCCAGGAGGGTTAAAACCAAACGGGCTGGTGGGCAGGGGCGCTGAGCAGCGGCTGCGCTCTGCGGGCCGCGCGCTCAGCACCTCCAACAAACCGACTTGCTGAGTTTTTAATCTCCCTAGGCGTGAAGTGCCAGGAGAGGCTGGGGAAAGGGAAGAGGCTGGACGGCGAGCTGGGCTGGCGAAGGGCAGAGGGGCCGCAGGCCGGGGCTGCGCGAGCAGGGGTGACGAGCGCAGGGCAAGCGCCCGCGCCCGGCTGGGACAGGGTGGCGGCCCTCTGACGCACGGTGCCGCGAGGCTGGGCCGTGGGTGCCGCGCTCGCCGGGAGGATGCAGCCACGTCCCCGTGGGCTGCTCCG